TCCCCTTGGAATCATGCGCGGGCCCCCGTCGAGAGCCGCTTGAGGATGAGATTTCGTGGGGGCCTGGTAACCTGGGTGGGCCCCTGACGGGCCGAATCAAGGAGTGATTCGCGAAGTCTGAGAATTGGCTCGTAAACTGCTTCGACATCGACGATGCATCCAGGGATGTGCATAGCGTTAGAGCTGGGGCCCCCAAGACGGTCAAGGTGCACCTGCAGACGATCTGGGACCGCGAATCCCGACGCAGGCATTCCGAGAGTACCATTTCGTGGATGTCTTTTCAGGCCCTCTGCAGGCGGGCTATCGATCTCGCCCGAGCTTCTCTTGGAGCTGGAGGAAGGGCACGGCTTGCCCAGTGGATGTCCAGGCTGCGCGACATGCCCCCGAATCTGACTTGCAAAGATGGCCACGCGGTCTGCTTGGGCCTCGTGGTTTCCTTACTGCAGGCGGTTCCTTCGGGTGACAGTGCTTGGCTCGCTGACGCGATGGGCCGCCTAGACGGGTTCACCCAGGGGCGTAGGGGGGGGATGCGAAGGAGTCCACGGAGAAATGGAAGCACTGGGCAGCGGAGTCGGTTCAGAAAGGTGGCCGATCAGGGCGTGCTTTTTCAAGGCAGGTTCGCGCGGACCGACCCAGCCAGTTTTCAGTGCCAGTTGAAGAAATAGACTTCGCAATGAACGGGGACGATGCAGTCGAGGCATTGGTTGACCAGTGGCTTCCGCTGTGGTTTCAGGATCGTCGGTGCGGGGGTCGTCGCCTGGCTTCCTGGGACATCCGAGGGGGCCTTCTGCCGCCGATCGGGTTGGATCAGCGTCTCAGCGTCTGCAAAGGGTATTCGGAGAACGCGAAGCTAGGCTGGGGCGCTTTCCGCCCGAGGCTACTGCTGAGCCTCCCCGAACAGTGCCAGCTCTGGGTCCTGTGCATGGTTTCGAGGAGTCCCCAGAGGTCCTCACTGACCTCCTCACGAACATCATCTTCCTGGACAAGCCAGACGGGGGAGTCAGGCCGATTGGCCTCTGTGTTTGTTCATGAAACTGTGGTCGAAGTGCAGACAGCCAGTGTGTCGAAAGTGGGAAGCCGATCATCCTGCTGCCTTTTTCTGGGGGTCTGGCCCCGACAGCGCTTGCGAGCGAGCTGGATGGGGTGCACAACATGCTGGCGCATTTCGGGCACTGCATGGGGACGTCGGCAGCGACAGCACTTCTTGATTTTTAGAAATTTTATGAACATGTTACGCACTCGGACTTGCACGAATGGGCCCTCGAACGTGGGTTCAATTTGCGCCTGCTGCGAGGACTTTGCGCAATGTGCGCTGCTGAGCGCGTGTTGCACTAAGGCGGTTGCGTGTCATGTGTTGTGCGAGCAAACGGCGGGGTGATCGCTGGGTGTCCGGCGGCAACGACGCTTTCGAAACTGTTGCTCCTGACCCCCTCATAAGAGCGCAGTTCAGTCGACCTCAGCTTGCGATTCGAAATGTTATCGACGACATCGCGCTGCAGGTGGTCGCCCCTCCAGGTGTAGTCAATGACCAGCGGTGTGGAGGTGTCCGGTCGCTTTTCGACAGCTTCGAGCGTCTTGGACTGCCAATTTCAAGCAAGTCGAATTACTTGTGCAACGACTCGCAGCTCGACCTGCAGCTGCAACAGGCCTGGGACCTCCCACCCACAAGCAAACTTGACTCGGCTAGGAACGTTGGAACGGACGCGGCCCTCGGAACGGTGAGGCGGGTTAGCGTCACCAGGGCTAGGTGGGAGGGGGCGCAAAGGAGAACTCAGAGGATCCGCGCGCTTAGGAGAGCGGGGGCCTGCACTACCTGGGTGCCTCGGCCCTATGGGGGTCCAGTATCGCGGGTATCCCGTCAACTCGGTTAAGCCTCCTTCGCCTCGGAGCCCTTGGGGGCCTTAGCAGGGTTCCAAAAGGGGCCTCGGTAGGCCTTAGGCTTCGCAGCTACAAGGACGGCCCTAGGACGGACCCGCTCCTGTTGACTATCGGCCAAATCGCGTTGCAGTGGGCGTCGGCGGTCTGGGAGTCCTTCCCGAAGGTCCCGGTGCTAGACAAGTGTCTCGCCGTCGCAGCTTCGAGGATTCGGAGCTTGAGATCACCGTGGGCCGCGGCGGCATCTCCGGCTGAGGTCGCGCTGCTGAGGTTCAGGAGGATTGGGTGGGGCCTGACCTCCAGCACCGTGCTCGCCACCGACGCGGGCGACGAGATCGACATGAGGAGGCTGCCGCCAGGACTCGTTACATCTCTTGCTGAAGAGTGGGCTCTGCGGGCTTCGGATCGACAGGCCCTGGCCGCGCGGGAGCCTCGAGCTGGCTGGTGTCTCCCCCTGTTCTGGAAAGCTTTGGATCCACTGCTCCATCGAACCTCAAGGGTTACGGCATGGACAGGTCTTTGGTGTCGGGGTCCCACTGGCCCCAAGCCAGGCTCCACGAGCGCGGTTTCTCGGGATCGGCCTGCTGCCAGACGTGCGGGGACCCAGACGGATCTCTGTGGCATCGAGCTTATTGTTGTCCTGCTCACGAAGTTATTCGACGGGAGCGGGTGTCTGTTTTCTTGCGGGCGCGAGCGTCTCGAGCCAAAGCGTGGGGCCATGACGAGGGAGAGCGGTTCGCGAGAGGGCTGTTTCCTGACCCGGTGGCTTTGCTGGAGATCCCAGAGGAGCCCGAGCAGACCATCCATTGGTTTAATAAACCTGAGCTGGGCCTGTTGACCGGGATACTTTTGACAGATGGGTCGGCTTTGTGGGCCGACTCCCCGCAGTTGGCCCGCGCGGGCTGGGCTGCGGTACAGGTGGATAGGTTCGGGCGGATAGAAGCTGCGGCCTACGGGCCAGTTCCGAAAGCCGCCGCCCCCAAGCAATCGGCTCGGGATGCGGAGGACTACGCGCTCAATATGCTTACTGTAGTTGCGATGCCCCCATTCGATGTGTACGCCGACTGTGCTGGCACGGCCGGCACCGCGTGGGGGGGGGAGGGCGGCGGGGCGAGCAGTGCAAATCCGAGGGCCCACCTATGGAGCCAGTTTTGGGCTGGCTTCCAGAGGTCCGATTTCAATTTATTTAAAACAAAGGCTCACTGCACGAGGGCCGACGTTGACGCAGGCAAGACCACATAATGGGAATGGCGTGCAAATATGTCGGCCGACGAGTACGCTAAAGCAGGGGCGGCTCTCCAAGGTATCGACAAATCGTCGTGTGAGCTCTGGGAGGGGACTTTGCGCGTGCGCACGCGACGCGGCGCGTTGGAGCGTTGCGGTCCACATCCAGGGAGGGGAGCATGATCATGAGGACTTCACGGAGGCCTACTGGGCAAGCCGTCGGGTGCCGCCGGAAGCCACGCTGGCGGAGGCAGTGCCGCCCGACGCTCCAGATCGAGAGCGGGAGTGGGCTGAGCCGGACTTCGGTGTTGCAGCGGGGTGGGAGGATTTCGCTCAATCGAGTTTGCTGTGGCGTGGCCACCGCCTGTTGCAATGCAAAAGAGGAGACGAATCCACGAATTCAGAGCCTTGTGTTTTGCTGCAAGTGCGGAGCTGTCAGCTCAGACGGGAAGCTCACCACAGCTTTGAACCAAGAATGTCAGTCGCGCAACGGTGTTGTGAGCAAGAGCGGGGCCGAGCAGCTAAGACGCATTAGGCTTGGCCAGTTCCCACACTACCGTGCGACTGTGAAGGAGTATAGGCTTTCTGCTCCGCACGGTGTCCTACCAGGGATGCGTGCCATCATCCAGCAGCGGGTGGCCTCGCAGCCCGCCTCCTCTCAGGAGCGATCTGGGCCCTTGTCCTCGTCGGTTTGGGGGCGGGTGGGTGCGGGAGATCGTGGTGCCGTCTTGCGCGCCTTCGGCCTGACGGCGTCGGATAGGCAACAAGTTTTGGACCTCGGCCGTGAAGCGATCGAGCCTGATTCTGCTGACCCCGTTTTCGAGGAATCCGACGCGGAAGGCGCGTAAGCGCTCGTTGACGCCTTTAGGGCCAACCCAGGCCAAGCCAAGCCTCCTCCTCCTCCTCGCTTATCCTTCTCCTCCTCCATCTCCTCCTTTTCCTCCTCCTCCTCCTCCTCCTTCTCCTCCCCCCCCTCTTCCTCCTTCTCCTCCTCCTCCTCCTCCTCCTTCTTATCCTGCTCCCCCCCCCTCTTCCTCCTCCTCCTCCCCCTCCTCCTCCTCCTGCTCCTTTTCCTCCTCGTCGTCGTCGTCGTCCTCCTCCTCCTCCTCCTCCTCCTCCTCTTCCTCCTTCTCTTCCTACCCCTCTTCCACGTTTCCTCCCCCTCTTCCTCATCTATTCCACTTCCGCTGCGTGAGCCAGCTCTTTAGCTTCCACAGAGGCTCCGCCTTTTGCCCCACATGTTGTGCGTGCGGGGCCTGGCAGGTATCGTCAATGACCTCCGGCATTGCCTGGCCGTTTCCTGCCCGATCCAGCTAATCACTGCATCCCTCGTTTTTGGCGTTTAGGGAACAAGCAATTGCATGAACATGCAAACTCGGAGGACCGCGCGGATTCCTCGGTTCGGCGCTGGAGCCCCTGGCGGCGCCTCCAGCGCAGCCCCGCGCGCCAGGGAGGGGGGGGTCCAGCGCCGATCCGATAAATCCGCGCAGACATCAGAGTTTTGATGTTATGTCGCCCGGCCGATTCGCAACAAGAGGAGCTGGGCGTGGAACTCAAGAACAAGTCCTCCTCCTGCCCTCCCTGCCTCGAAGCTCCTCCCTCCCTGCTTCTAACATCCTCGAAGCTCCTCCCCCCTGCCTCGGAGCTCCTGCCTCCCCGTTTCGAAGCCCCTCGAACCCCCTCCTCCCCCCCTTGTCTCGAAGCTCCTCACTTCTTCCCTCCGAAGCTCCCCGAAACTCCTCGAAGGTTTTTCCCTCGACGCTCCTCGACACTCCTCGAAGCTTGTTCTCTCGAAGCTTCTCGAAGATCCTCGAAGCTCCCTGCCTCGAAGCTCCTCCCTGCCTCCCCCCGCCCGGCGCGCGAAATCGCGCGCGGGGCGCACTCCGGGTTCCGCAGGTCACATGACCGTCCCCCTTACAGGAGACCCCCCCCGCGGCGCCCGCGGCGGCGGCGGTCCTTCCTTCTCGCTGCTGCTGCTCTGCCTCCCTCGCCTCCTCCGTCCGCCTCCTCCTCCTCCTCCTCCTCAGCCCCCTCCTCCTCCCTTTCCTCCTCCTCCTCCTGCTTCTCCTCTTGCTGCTCCTCCTGCTCCTCCTCCTCGTCCTCCTCCTCCTCCTCCTCCTCCTCCTCCTCGCCTCAACGAAGAGCGTGCCCGAGCCCTTGGCAGGATTGCCATTTCGGAGGCCGAGGCCGACTCTGAGGACGTGTTCATTTTAGGGGGTGCCTTGTCGGGGCTCCTGGGGCGGGGACGGAACCCGCCTCGGTGCCTGATGAATTTCCCTTTGATGGGCACCCCCCAGACTCTCTCCTCTCTCTCTTCCCCTTCTGGGCATCCAGTCCTCCTCCTCGCTCCTCCTCTCTTCCTCGCTCACACCTACCTCCGACGCAGGAGGGTAGATCCATAGCAGTGGTCACACCACGCCCAGTACCGCAACATCCGCGCCCACCTCGTGCTGCACCACCTGCTCCTGACCCCCGTCTTCGCGAGAACGGCTTTCGTGCTGCTGCTGGCCTCGTTGTGCATCGCGGACTGCAGCGTGGGTGCCAACCTGCCCCTGGACCTGAAGCGCACCATGAAGGTGGAGAAGAAAGGGCGGTGGCGGCCAGGCCCAGCAGCGGGCTCCTCAGCAGCGTCGGCGAGTGGTGGGTAAACCCCCAACGGCGACGAGCAGGAGGATCGGAAGCAGTCCAGAGGACCTAGCGGACAACGAGTCCAACCTGGCACAGCAGGCGGAAAGTCGCCCTCGACCAAGCTTCGGATCAGACGTGGAGGCCGACGCAGAGCGGAGGTCAAGGAGCGGAAGGTCGCGACCAAGGACAACGGTCCGAAGGAGTTGCTTCTCCTGCTCTCCGTGCACGTGGCGCAACTGTCACAGAGGTAGAGGGCAATGTGAGGTATAGCTGCGCGAGCAGTCTTGGTGGAGGAGAACAACATCGTGATCGCCCCCATGCAGGAAGAGTCTAAGGACTTCTCCGAGCATGCAGCACGGCTACGACAGAAGATCGGGAATATGAAAGAAGAAGCCAAATAAGCCACGAATATAAATTTATCCGATGCAAATCAAGAGAAGCTCGCGAACGATCAGGCATGCGCGATACATTGAGCCCTCCAGCTTAAGCGCTCTAGCGGTGTTCGCGGCGATGGTGGAAACATTTTCGAACCAGGATATCGGCCGCAGGGACAGGTACATAGCAGATGGAGAGCATCGTGGCAGCCTTGGAAGACGAATCTCCCAGGTGTACGTTCGCCTCTGCCGACTCGAGAACTGCAAAGATACGGACATGATCAAGTGGTGGTGCCTCTGGACGACAGTGTGATGGAGTTAGAGAGCAGGGAGTGCTTCAAATCGATGGGGAGGAGAACTGTGGCGAGCGGGTCGGCGCCGTCGGGATACCTCGAGGACGAGATCTCGGCCTGGATTGACATCCTGAAGGTGTAGGTCCCCCGCTCGCCATCGAACTTCGGGCGGCGCAGTTGAGAGCACCTGGCAGCAGAGAAACGCTCAAACGGGCGCGGACGGCGGGCATGGTGACAATTTTGCTGCAAGCTTCGTGACCTGTTCCCCCCTCGCCTGCCTCGTCGCCATTCGTTCGCATCCCTCGGCTCCTCGTCGGCCCCCGCTCTTTCGGACCCTCGCTCGGTCCCCTTGCTGGTGGTGTTCCGCTCGGTCGGCTTCCCTTCTGAGTGTCACGAGTTGCGGGCGGCCTGGTGGATGCAGACAGTTCCACATGTTTGCTCGTACGCTCTCTAGTTGATGATTAGTACACATACAGTCGTGCCCAACAACCGCGTGCAGCTTCCTCCTCCCCTCCCTCCATCCCAAGGCTCCTCCTCCTCCTCCTTTCCCCTCCTTCTCCCCTTATTCCTCACCCCCATTTCCTTCCTCCTCCTCCTCCTCCTCTTCGTCCTCCTCCTGCTCTCCTCCTCCTCCTCCTCCTCCTCCTCCTCCTCTCCTCCTCCCCCTTCTCTCCTTCTCCTCCCGCCTCCAGCCCCCCCCCTAGTGCTGGTGGCGGCGGCGGACATGCAAGGCCGACGAGAGCGGGTTTTTGGGGTCCCGGGCGGTTCTTGTGGCGTTCTGCGTTGCCCACCTGCGGCTTTCCAGCCGCGGCCCTCGGCGGTCTTCGGACGGTTCCGTCGGTCTTGAGCGGTTTTCGAACTTTTCGTTCTAGGCTCTAGAGAAGAAGCGCAAGGACCGTGACCAAGATGTCGCGGGAGATCGACGCCGATCTTGGACATGGTCCATGTCGGCCGTCGCCGATCCGCGAGGATTGTCCACGAGTTGACGCTGACCAAGATCGGCGTTGACCAACATCGGCACGGCGTTTCCGCGTTCATTCTTGATCATGGCCCCTGTCCGATATCGCCCCGAATGGCTGCCGGAGTCCAGAGGCACGACCCTGAAGCCAGGCGACGAGGATCACCCAGGTCGGACGACAGAGGGGGGACTGGGACCGGGTGGATTGCGGGATCTTCCGCGCGCGGCTGGTTTCGGCCCTGCCGCCGAGCTCGTTCCCCGATACACGAAGAAGCGAAGCTTGCGCATACATCAATTCTCGGAGCTCTGCGCGGATTTCTCGGATCGGCGCTGGGGCCCCCGTGGCGGCGCCTCCAGAGCCGCGCCTCGCCAGGAAAGGCGGTCCAGCGCCGCCCCCCACCAAAACGAAACCTCAGGGAGGGTGGGGTGTGGCCCTCCTGGAACGGAAGAGGTTTTTGGAAGAGGACGGAACACAATGGGTCAGACCACCTTAGCCCAAAGGGCTGGTGGGATTGCGATAGCAACAATAACAAGGATGGCAATGATGACAAGAAGCGATGACGACAAATTGCTCTGCCGTTTTTTGTCCACGATGCGAGGGGGACAACGACAACGATATCAACAGTAATAATGATAACACTTGCAACGATTGTAACGCTAATAACGATAACAGCGATAACAAATATAAGAGCGGTAACAGCGATGACGCCGATAGCAACGATAGCAACGATAGCAACGATAGCAAGGATAACAGCCTGGGCTCCTCGACCGCCGCGGCTCTGCTGAGGCGGGCCTGCAGCTCTCTGGCCCCCGAGAGCAGACGCAGCCGCCGCGGCCTCTGGCTGCTGCCGCCGCCGACGACGACGACGGCGACTTCGACGTCGACGACAACGACCGACGACGACCACGACCACGCCCGCGTCCGACGACCAACGACCGACGACGGCGACGACGACGACGCCGACGACCGACAACGGCGACGACGACGACGCCAGCGACGGCGACGGCCGCGGCCTCTGGCCGCTGGCGAGGAGCCAGACACCAGTGCCGCTCCTGCTGCCGGACGGTCTGCGACCGGTGCTCCACGGCGCTCCAGTCCGCTGGCCCATCGTTCACCGCCGTCGCCGTTCGTTCTTGCCCTTGGCGTCGCTCGGGCGCCCACGAGGGCCTTCGAGGCCTCCACGATGGCCCCAAGATGCCCCAAGCGGTCCCCAACAACGCTGCAAAGCGGCCCAAGAGCTCCCAAGATGGTTTCCAGGACGGCCCCAGAGGGCCCGAGACACCGAAGATCGCGTCAGACGCCTTCAACACGGGCCAAGAGACGGCATTATGTTGCCTCAAGACAGCCCCAGAGGCCCCCGCGCGGCCTCACGGCGCCGACGAAAACCAGCCCAACAACGTGTCACGGACATGGCCCTTTTTCGCGACATGTTATCGGGCCCTTTTGACTTGGCATCGCTCGGACGCGTGCGATCTTTCTCGGCGAGGACCATCGAAGAGCATCTTGGATTATCTTGCGAGAAGGCACGAGACCAACACATGCACGCGGAATGAACGTCCGAGCGATGGCAAGTTCCTTCTGTCGCCGCCGCCTCTCGCCGCTCGCCGCTCGCCGCTCGCCGCTGCCTCTGCCGCCGCGGTTCGATGCGCCGGCCGCCGCCGCCCGCCGCTCTTCACCGCCGCTCGCCGCCTCCGAGGCCGTCGTCGCTCGCCGCCGCAACTCCGAGGCCGCCGTCGCCGGCCGCCGCCGCTCGCCGCTGCCGCTCGCTCCCGAGGGCCCGCTCGCGTCGCGAGAAAATCGCGATGGGCGCTTTATGGCCACGTTCGGCCTCGCCGCCGCCGCCACCACCACCACCATCACCACCACCGACGCCGTCGTCGTGGTTATCGTCGTCGTCGTCGTCGTCGTCGTCGTCGTCGTCGTCGTCGTCGTCGTCGTCGTCGTCGTACTTCTCGTCATCGTCGTCGTCGTCGTCGTCGTCGCCGTCGTCGTCGTACTTATCGTCGTCGTCGTCGTCGTCGCCGTCGCCATCGCCGCCGACGCCGTCGTCGCTGTCGTCGCTGTCGTCCTTGACGCTTTCGGCCGCTTTCGGCCTGCCCGAGCCCCCACAATCGCCGTGGTTCGCCGCTGCTCACGGCCGCCGCCGAGGCAGCCCGCCGCTCGTTCCTGGGCCCCTTCGCGTCGCGGAAACGCGACTGGCGGTTTTTGGCCGCTTTCGACCTGGGCCCGTCGTCGTCGTCGTCGTCGTCGTCGTCGTCGTCGTCGTCGTCGTCGTCGTCGTCATTGTTGTCCTCGTCGTCGTCGTCGTCGTCGTCGGTCGTCGTCGTCGTCGCGGTGGTGGTGGTGGTGGTCGTCGGCGTCGTCGTCGTGGTTATCGTCGTCGTCATCGTCGTCGTCGTCGTCGTCGTCGTCGTCGTCGTCGTCGTCGGCGTGGTTGTCGTCGTGGTCGTCGTCGTCGTGGTCGGCGTCGCGGAAGAATCGCGGCGGGCGGTTTTGGCAAGAATCGCGACGGGCGGTTTTGGCCGCTTTCGGCCTCCAGGGGTCTTCGCCAGACCCCAGGAGCGCTAGAGAATGATTCGGGATGAAGCATTAGTTTCGGGGAAGGGGTCGAGACCCCAAAGGCGTCATGATTTTCATGATGTGGTCCCCAGAGGTCATGACCCTTTCCCGGGGACCGCCTCTTCATCCTGAGTTATCTTGACGGAGAAGTATCCCCTCGTGTTTTTGCTCACGACGCAACGAAGTCTGGGGAAGGCGACGTCGTGAACAAATCTTGACCTCGGGGGCTTGTCGGCGTCACCCCGAAATGCTACTACTGCGTGCGCTTCCCCCCCTGCCCCAGGGGCGACGCGCGCGCTCGGAAATCTAATGGTATACGCTCTGTGGCGGGCGCTTCGTGGCCATATGGTTTGGGAGACGGCGCTCTTGGGGGCCTATGGGGCTGTCTTGGAGTGTTGGAAGCCCGACAAGACGAGAGCGCTAACATCATCGAAACACCTGAGGAGAATCATGAGTTTGGCCTCCTGGATGTCTCCTGAGAGCCCTCTTGGGGCTTCTTGGGGGCCTCCTGGTCCGTCTGGAGGGCATCGTTGTCCGTCCGATTATGGGCCATCTTGCCCGTCTTGGAGGCGTCTGGGCTATCTACTGCAATATGGTTTCGCCAATTTTATGATCTGGTCGGACGCACGCCTCCGAGGAGGGCACACACACTGCTGGTATGCCCTTCAGCGCTCCAGTCTGGGGCCGTCGCTCGATGCCGCTGACCGCTCGCCTCCGCCCGCCTCCTCGACCTTCTTCCACCTTCTTCGACCCTCCTCGACACCTCGACCCTTCTCGACCCTCGGCCTTCCGCCCTCCTCGACCCTCGACCCTCCTCGACCCTCGACCCCCTCGACCTTCCACACTCCTCGACCCTCGATTGACTCGATTGACTCTTGTTCCCATCGACCTTCCACCCTCCTCGACCCTCGACCCCCTTGACCTTCCACCCTCCTCAACCCTCGATTGACTCATGTTCCTCGACCCTCGGCCCGCCTCCACCCGCCGCCGCTCGCCGCCGCTCGTGCGCCGTTCGTTCGGTCGTTCGCTCGCCTCGCCGCCGCCGCCGACGCCGCCCGTTCGCCGCCGCCGCCGAGGCCCCGCCGCCGCCGCCGCTCCTTGGGCCGCTCGCCCGCCGCAGCGCCGCCCGTTCGCCGCCGCCGCCGTCGGCCTCGCCGCCGCCGCCGGCCTCGTCGCCGCCGCGCCGCCGCTTCCGCCCCTGCAACGAACGACGACGACGCGACGAGGCCGACGGCGACGGTGAGGCCGACGACAACGAGGAGGGCGACGAGGCCGACGAGGCCAACGGACCACGACGGTGCCGCCGCCGACGGCGACAACGACGTCGACGCCGACGACGACGAAGACGACGAGGCCGACAGCGACGGCGAGGCCGACGACGACGACGACGAAGACGACGTCGACGGGGCCGACGACGACGACGAGGACGACGACATCGTCGACGACAACGACGACGACGACGAGGCCGATGCCGATGTCGAGGACGACGACGAGGGCGACGAGGCCGACGGCGACGGCGAGGCCCGACGAGGCCGACGACGACGAGGACGACGACGACGACGAGTAGGCAGACGAGGCCGATGGCGAGGGCGACGAGGCCGACGACGACGAGGACGACGACGATGACAACGCTGACGGGGCTGACGAGGCCGACGTTGACGACGACCAGGCCGACCTAACGGCGAGGGCGACGAGGCCGACGACGACGAGGACGACGACGACGATGAGGCTGACGGCGAGGCCAACGACGACGTCGAGGATGACGACGACGGCAAAGAGGCAAACGGCGACGACGAGGCAGACGACGACGACGACCACGACGACGACGAGGGCGACGACGACGACGATGACGACAAGGGCGGACGAGGTCGACCACGACGAGGCCGACGACGACGAGGCCGACGGCGACGACGACGAGGACGAGGACGAGGAGGAGGACGACGACGACGATGACGACGACGACGACGAGGGCGACGAGGCCGACGGCGACGGCGAGGACGACGACGACCACGACGACGAGGCCGACGAGGCCGACGATGACGACGACGACGACGACGACGACGAGGGCGACGAAGCCGACGGCGACGGCGAGGCCGACGATGACGTCGCCGACGACGACGGCGAGGCCGACGAGGCCGACGACGACGATGACAACGCCGACGACGAGGGCGACGAGGCCGACGGCGACGGCGAGGCCGACGACGACGACGACGAGGGCCACGACGCCGACGGCGACGACGACGACGACGACGAGGGCGACGAGGCCGACGACGACGACCATGACGACGGCGACGAGGGCGAGCCTGACGAGGCCGACGAGGCCGAAGACGACGACGAGGCCGACGACGACGAGATATACAGCGAGGCCGACGACGACGACGCCGACGACGACGATGGCGACGAGGCCGACGACGAGGACGACGACGACGAGGGCGTCGAAGCCGACGGCGACGGCGCGGCCGACGACGACGTCGCCGACGACGACGGCGAGGCCGACGAGGCCAACAACGACGACGACGACCAGGGCGAGGAGGCCGACGGCGACGGCGAGGCCGACGACGACGACGAGGGCGACGAGGCCGACGGCGACGACGACGACCACCAGGGCGACGCGGCTGATGACGACGACCACGACGACAACGACCACGACCACGCGAGGCCGACGAGGCCGACGAGGCCGACGGCAACGACGACGAGGCCGACGCCGGCGACGACGATGGCGACGGCGAGGGCGACGACGACGATGGCGCCGACGGCGACGAGGCAAAGGGCGACAGCGAGGCCGACGATGGCGACGACAAGGCCGACGAGGCCGACGAAGCGGACGACGACGACGGTGACGAGGTCGACGACGAGGCCGACGACGATGGCGACGGGGTCGACGGCGACGACGACGAGACCTATGTGGCCGACGGCGACGGTAACAACCACGAGGCTGACGGCCCGACGGCGAGGCCGACGACGAGGCCGACGACGACGAGGTCGACGAAGCAAATGGCGACGACGATGCCGACGACGACGACGAGGCCGTAGGTGGCGAGGGCGACGCCGAGGACGACGACGACGACGCTGCCGACGACGAGGCCGACGACGGCGACGATGCCGACGAAGAGGTCGACGACCGCGACGAGGCCGATGTCGCCGCCGCGCTGCTGCTACCGCCCCTGAAGGGAGGGTGACGGCGAGGCTGACGACGACGACGACGACGAAACTGACAACGATGACGTCAAACACGACGTAGACGACGATGACGTCAAACATGACGTCAAACTGACGACGATGACGTCAAACTGATGGCGACGATGGCGACGAGGCCGACGGAGACCGCGAGGCTGACGACCACGCCGACGCTAACGACGACGACGACGAGGCTGACGAGGCCGACGACGACGGCCACGACGACGACGAGGGCGCCGACGACGACGACAACGACGACGATGCGACGAGGCCGACGGCGACGGCGAGGTCGACGATGCCGACGACGAAGAGGCTGACGAGGCCGACGACGACGACGAGGACGACGACGG